GTCTGTTGACTTTCTTGATGGTATCTTTTGAATCACAATTTTAAAAAATTATGATTAAACCTAATTTATGTACTTTTTCTTTTTTATTTGTGTGTATTTTTGGTGCCATATAAATCCATTGCCTAACCTAAATTCACAAAGATTTACTCCTAAGTTTCTTTTAAATAGTTTTACTGTTTAGCTATTGTATATAAATAAATATTTTGATATGTCTTATTTTTATATGGTATGAGGTAGGGTTTGAAATTAATTCTTTGCCATGCCAATCCAGTTTTCCTATCATCATTTTTGAAAAAGAATACAATTTCTCAAAGGTTAAATATTAAAACTGCAACTGCATTTGTAGTGTGAAATTCTTGATTTGAACCTAACCTATATTAATGTATACAATTTCCAAATTCATATAGCATCACTATCCTAACAAAATATTATGTAGGAAATAGAGGCTGGAAAATTTTATTTCCTTCCTGTGTACTGAGTCTAAGAAAAGCCTTTCAAATATTTATATCCAACTATTGAGGAATATATGTGGAATAAATATATTTTCACACTTCTCTTGATATTCTACTAATATATGTTATGATATTGCTTCTGTCGTATTTTTTAAATGTTTTGTTTTAGTCTAAGAATTATTGTAGAACACTGTAATTATGAGATTTCCACTGATCAAATGGCTAAACAAATACACACTTAAGCAAACTAATTTCTGCCATTGCAGGAAGGCTCTTCTGAGACTTATATCCTGAGCCCCTCATATTCCAGCAATGTCCATCTTTTAACACCTCTGAAGTGGAAATCTCTACCTTCTTCCTGACTGGGATCCCAGGCATGGAGCATGCTCACATTTGGGTCTCTATCCCAATGTGCCTCATGTACCTCGTTGCCATCCTGGGGAACTGCACCATCCTCTTTTTCATAAAAACAGAGACCTCTCTGCATGAGCCTATGTACTATTTCCTCTCCATGCTGGCCTTTTCTGATTTGGGACTGTCTATCTCCTCCCTTCCAACCATGCTGAGAATCTTCTGGTTCAGCATCACTAGAATTTCCCCTGATGCTTGCTTTGCCCAGGAGTTTTTCATTCATGGATTCTCAGCTATGGAGTCATCAGTTCTTCTCCTCATGTCCATTGATCGTTTTATAGCTATCTACAACCCTCTGCGATACACCTCCATTCTGACCAGTGCCAGAGTCATGAATGTTGGCCTTGCATTTGCCGTGAAAAGTATTCTATTGGTCTTTCCTTTCCCCTTTATTCTAAAGAGGCTAAAATTCTGTAAGAAAAGCCTTCTATCCCACTCTTACTGCCTCCACCAGGATGTCATGAAGCTGGCCTGCTCTGACAACAGGGTCAATATCATCTATGGATTACTTGTGGCTCTAATGGCTATGTTAGACTTGGTGTGTATTTCTGTGTCTTATGTTCTGATCCTGAAAATTGTTCTGGGCATCGCCTCACATAAGGGCTGTCTCAGAGTCTTCAACACTTGCATCTCCCACATCTGTGCTGTGCTCATCTTCTATGTGCCTATTGTCACCTTGGCTATTATTCACCGCTTTGCCAAAAGTGTTTCCCCACTTATTAGAGTCGTCATAGCTGATACTTTCCTTCTGGTTCCCCCTCTAATGAATCCCATTGTGTACTCGGTGAAGAGTCAGCAGATTAGAAGTCTGATCCTTACAAAATTATGTGGGAAACCAGGTTGATGGGAAATTTCAGCTGCAATGAATGCTCAGGTCACTTGGCAACTGTGAAACAAATGTAGGGATTTGAGAGCGACAGTGAAGTAATAGAGAATGAGACAAATACGTACTGCATATACAGCAAGTTCATCAAATTTCAAATTATTGATTTAATTTAGCAGCAACAACACACTAGATGTCTTGGCATTATAATAATATGCTGATAACTCTGTTTGCCATCTTCTTTTCCCCTTTTCCTGTCTCTGCAAAACCAGCTATATGACTATATCAACAACAGCCACAGGAAACACTATCTTACTTATGGTTAAATAAACTTTAAAGTATTATTCTTGAAAAAAAAAGAAAATTAGTATGCTCATTTAGGTTAAAGCAAATATGGCTCTAAATAACTCAGACATGGTCAACAGTGACTAAAGTGAACTAAAAAATTAATCACACAGTCACTCACTCACTCACTCACACACATGTACACACATACACACATAGAATCAGCATCTCCTAAACACCTAGGCTATGTGTGTGGCGCTGGGGTGGGGAGAGCTGTAGAGGGATGTACGTGTCATCAGCAAAATCAAATAAACCATAAAAATGCTCCTGTGAAGTATGTATTAAATGTGAAAACCAGGAACAAGCAAATATTTCATTCATTTATATTTTTGATTTTCTGCAACATATTTAATAAATTACCTCCTTTAGTATGCATATTGGGTGAGCTGCTCCTTAACCAAGGCTATATAATATCCTTTTTTTTTTGACAATTATAGGTCTAAACAACAGTATTATTTCTTAACTGTCTGTATTCTACATCAATGAGATAGAGTCATAACTGAAATAGGGTCTTTTAATTTCTATCTTTGTCAATGTCCAGCAAAGTGCCTGAAACATATAAGTTGTTCATTGTATGTTTGTTAAGGCATAGTAATTCCAGCAAATTTTGAAGATATGAATATATTTTATGATAAGAAAGCCAAAGAATCTGTGAGTATGTCTGGAAGCTCTCATGCATATAGAGTTCACTTGTTCTACATTCTTGGGACATAAAATAAAATCAAGCACAAATAGCAGTCATAAATCATAAAGTAAATGGAGTAGTCACATGTATATTGTTAGGATCTAGTTAGGTCCTTACTAAAAGTTATCTGAATGAATAACTCCTTCTAATAAGCACTACTATATTTAGTTCAAACTCAACTCTGGCAATTAGAAAGTCTGTAGTAAGACACTCCACTGCAAGTGGCAGCAAATCAAATCATATTATCTTAAGCAAACACAACATCCTTAAGTGGGATTTACAATGGCTCACAGATATGAAGTAAAAGTTGCAGGAGCCTGAGGGGCTACATCACACTTAAGTTCTAGAAAATGTCACCACCAACTCTCACTCTCTTCACCTCTCTTCTTTGCTTCTATCAGTATTCTGAATTAAGCAAGCACACGGGATGTGATAAATGGTCACCAACTGGATAAATAGGCAGCGGGGACACTTCTTACATCTCACCCAACAGAGCAGAGAGAACTTTCACTATCAGCTCCACTTGGACATCTAGAAAAAGGACTGAAAAATACAGATTACTTAATATTCTTAAACCAGAACTGATCATAATACCTATGGAAACTCAAAGCAGTTATAAAAGTTTGGAAAAAACTGTTCGTAAAGAGACATAGTGAAATTCAAAGCCAAAAAATAAGCCTTTCTTTCATACTTGTTCAAATATTTGAAATTAAATTAGTGAGTTTACTGTCTATGTAGATCAGTAACCCATAGAACTGGGTCACTTATTCATATTCATGTGGAGATACAATATATCTGTTTTCATATGTGTCAAGTATAGATGCCAGCACTGTGTGTCATATACCTATTTTTTAACTTTTATTTACCTACACTTCAGTTTGCTTCTATATCCCTTGGCCTCTTCTGTTTATGGAGTAGAATCTAGAAGTTTGTGAGCAGTCCCTAAGGACTCAATCCCACAGCTCTGTGTAAAGTTGGGATTAAAATATGGTGTATTCTTAGAAATCTCTCCTAGGTGCTAGACATCTAATATAAACGTGCCCTCCATGTACTTCTCAGAAAGAGGAATATATGTTGAAATGCTGGGCATATGCCAAGAAATACGGAAGAAAGAGGTGAATCAGCCGCTGATTTCTGGTGAATGGCTGTGGCAGTAAATGGAGAGACACATTGGCAGAGCAGGATAAGGATGGACCATGTGGCCATCCTGCACCAGGTTAAAAAAAAATTATGTTTTTAAATGGTGATAAGTTATCTTTTAAAATGTTCAGAAAGATCCCAGACATTTAATATCCTTGTGTCAATTGCACTGGGTAAAATAAACACTGGCAACAGAAAGGCATGTAGTTAGTGGGATCCACTGTTGAAGGTGGGCTTCTAGTATTGCTCCAAAATAAGCAACAGGGACACCAAGCCTTGGCCATGGCCATCATCTTTCTACTAGACAGTGGTGTTTTATTTGTCCAGGCTGCCTGTTTTTATAGAACATAAATAAGAGTCAGTGCACTTTGCAACACTTGCTCTCTCTCTATTGAACTGAACTCACTAAAGATGGAGAGATTATTTTTTCACCTTTCAATATAGGTTTTCTACATTGAAAAATAAAGAATTTTTTAAAATATAAGAAAGTGAAGCTATGGCAAAGACAAAAGGATCTCTATGCTTTATTTTGAATTACAACTGCTGTATCACATACCCCACAGTAACTTTCTTTACTTCATTTTGAGTGGCTTGATTCATTCTGTAGCATTGGAAAGCATTTCTCAAGGATCTTTCTCCACTCCCTTTAGATCCTTGCAAAAGTAGATTCTTCTCTATTGAGACACTGCTATACCAGAGAGCTACAAAAAATACCTCCTCTAGTACCAAAACCACCTGAGGCTTTCAGGGTTACCTACCCAGTTGCAGCATATTGAACTGGTAGGAGGAGTAACCAAGCAAGTGCTGGCTTCACAACAGTGGAGAAATTAACACAGGAAAAATTCACAGGTGCTCTGCGAGTATCTCATATGATGTGAATAGTGAACAAAAGAGTATAAATGGCATTACACAACATTCCTTTTCCCTTTTCCAACGGATACTCTGTGTAGCCTGTAAGGCATGAACAATGGGTGTCTCTGCTCCTGGCCAGGTATCTCAAGGGGCCAACACTTGTCTGAGAACATGAAACTATGTCTGTTATAATCTGACTTGGTATTTGTGGGAGGCTACTTGGCTTGGGTGAGAGTTTTTGTGTATGTCTCTCTATGTCAGTAAATAATGAGGAACCAGAAGAATTCAGGTTTTGATTGTGAGTAACTATACACCTGGATCTATAATTTATTTCCTTATGGATTGCTTAAAACACTTTTGACTGTCTCTGTAGTGTATTAACTTGGTCCTACATATAGTCTTGATATTTCCAGTGTCATTCACCAGAGTGGATTTCCCAAAGTAGAGAATCACCTCCAATAACTTTCATAGTGAATGACAAGATTTAATTATTAGAAATCTGCATTGAGTTTGCTGCAAGTCTCATGTTTAGAATTTGAGCTCAATCAGCAGGCAGAAGAGAAACTCTGAACATCACTTTGACCTGGCCTACAAATGGCTACGGGGATGATTCAATATATGTCCTTTAGTAACAAGCTTATTTATATAGTAAATATGACATTGACTCTATGCTAAAACTGTGAGCAGCAATTGACATACCAGATTCTTTTCCCTCTGATCTCTCTCTCTCTTTCACTTTTCCCCATACAGGAGGATCAGCTTCACTTCCTTTGATTAGCAACAGAATGATATACCACAACAGAAGCATTTTTCACCCAACCACATTTTACCTCATTGGAATCCCAGGCCTGGAAGAGGTCCATGCCTGGATCTCCCTGCCTTTCTGCTTTGTTTACCTTGTGGCTTTACTGGGCAATCTCACAATTCTGTTAGTCATCAAGATGGAGCAAACACTCCGGGAGCCCATGTTCTACTTTCTAGCCATCCTTTCAACCATTGATTTGGCCCTTTCAACAACCTCTGTCCCCCGCATGCTGGGTATCTTCTGGTTTGATGCTCATGAGATTAACTTTGGAGCTTGTGTGGCCCAGATGTTCCTGATCCACGCTTTTACTGGCATGGAAGCTGAAGTCTTACTAGCCATGGCCTTTGACCGCTATGTGGCGATCTGTGCTCCACTCCAATACATGACCATCCTGACATCCCGGGTGCTGGTGGGCATCAGCATGTGCATTGTAATTCGTCCAGTCCTGCTGACACTTCCCATGATCTATCTCATCTACCGCCTACCCTTTTGTCAGGCTCATGTGATAGCTCATTCCTACTGTGAGCACATGGGCATCGCAAAACTGTCCTGTGGAAACATCCATATCAATGGTACTTATGGGCTCTTTGTTGTTTTCTTCTTTGTTCTAAACCTAGTCCTTATTGGCATCTCCTATATTTATATTCTCCGTGCTGTCTTTCGCCTCCCATCCCAAGATGCACGGCTAAAAGCCCTAAGCACGTGTGGCTCCCATGTTGGGGTCATTTGTGTTTTCTATATCCCCTCAGTCTTCTCTTTCCTCACTCACCGATTTGGACACAGCATACCCCGCTACATTCACATTCTTGTTGCCAACCTCTATTTGGTTATCCCACCTTCACTCAACCCCATCATCTATGGTGTGAGGACCAAACAGATACGAGAGCGAGTATTCTGCGCCTTTATTAAGAAATAAGACACCTGGCTGCATTCTTTTACTAAGGATTTCAATACCTCTAGGAAGATTTTTGTGTTCTTGCCTTAACAAGTATCTCACGGTTCTAATTTATGGCTGCCAGATTGCAATACAAGTTGATTTGTTTCTAAGTGCTGACTAATGGATTCTAAGACTTGTGGGAACTTCATTAGATCTCTCATTCAAAGGCTAATGGGCTGTCCTGAAAGGGAGCTGTGTCACCTCTATCTGCATGTCTTCACACAGGGTCTTGATAGCATAAGATTCTTTTTTTTCTGGGGAAAGAATAACAAGTATTGG